AAAAAAAAAAAAAAAAAAAAGTAAAAAAAAGAAGACGACTGAGACTATAAAACAGACTAGGACCCATGATTTCTGACTCAGTCCAGATTATTTCTGTAACAAGTTAAAGCATGTGGACAACAAGAATAAAAGTCTTTATGAAGACACTGGAAAAAAATGTTCATATGTAGGAAAAAATAAAGCTATATTGGGGAAAAGGACTAGGAGTACAATCTGTATATTGATTAAACCAGTTTGGTGGCAAAATCAATAAATGTCTTTTATTCGTTAGGTCAAGACCCAAAGGTAACCATAGGCTCTATTAAAAGTCCTCTAACTTTAAACACTGCACAGTTCTTGCCCCTCTGGGGAGGTTTTCCTCTGGAGGCTCCTGACTGCACTTCCTAGTTACAGTTTTCAATATGGATTGGTTCAGTCAGCTCCTCAAAAATACAACCAAACATTCACATAAAGTTACCATGTGACCCAAATTTCATTCCTGGATACACACCCAGAAGAAATGAAAATATGTCCACATAAAAACTTGTAGGCAATGGCTGGGCGCGATAGCTCACGCCTGTAATCCTAGCACTGTGGAGGCCAAGATGGGCGGATCACCTGAGGTCAGGAGTTCAAGACCAGCCTGGCCAACATGGTGAAATCCCAACTCTACTAAAATACAAACATTAGTCGGGCACATGCCTGTAATCCCAGCTACTCAGGAAGCTGAGATGGGGGAATCACTTGAATCCGGGAGACGGTGGTTGCAGTGAGCCGAGATCACGCCCCTGCACTCCTGCCTGGGCAAGAAAGAGAGACTCCATCTCAAAAAAAAAGAAAAGAAAAGAAAAGAAAAAGAAAGAAAGAAAGAAAAAAAACTTGTAGGCAAACGTTTATAGCTAGCATAAAACTCATGACAGCTGAAAAGTGGACGTAATCCAAATGTCCTTCCACTAATGAATGATACTCAAAAATGTGGCATATCCATTCAATGAAATACTATTTAGCAATAAAAACAATGAAGTACTGATACAAGCTACAATATAGATGAACCACATAATTGTTATATTAAGTGAAAGAGGCCAAACACACAAAAGCCTGCATATTTGTATGATTCCATTTATATAAAATGGTCCAAAAACACAAATCCATGGAGACAGGAAGTAGATTACTGGTTGCCTCAGGCTAAGGGGGGGGAATGAACAGTGACTGCAAATGGACACAAGGGTTCTTTCTGGGGTGAAGAAAATAAATGTTCTAAAATTAGATTGTAGTGATGATTGCACAATTCTGTAAATTTACTAAAAATCATTGAATTATACACCTAAAGTGGGTGCATTTTCATGATATATAAATTACACCTCAATAAAACTGTTTTTTGAAAATATAACTCAAATATTTAACAGGTAGAATTCATGACCTAATCAAAATATCATCAGTTGCTGCACAGAATCAAAGGCAGGAACTTTCTATGACAAAATATTCACAGTGACTATCTCCAGCAATTCCACAATAACAATTTTTTTTCTGTTTGCTTAAGCGTATTTTATAAATGTTCTGCACGGACCACATGGCTCTCCTAACAACGACAATGTGGCGGCGGCTGCTATTGTGGTGGTTGTTTTAAATTAAAAGCACAGAAAAATAAATAAAATAAAATAAATTAAAAGCATGGGTAAATTGATTTATAAGACTGCAGTGGGGAAGGCCTTTTAAAATAAGACAGAAAAGCCAAAAGCCTAAAGGCACTCTGCCAAATTTATATAAAATGTTAAAAATGTTGCTGGGGCAAAAACCAAACCAAACAAAAACAAGATCTAAGCACAAAGTTAAAATACACAGGACAAACTAGAGAAAACATTTATTGAACATAATGAAAGACAAAGACTATTTTTCTTAATTTATCAAGCTCAGCCAAATCAGTAAATGCTGAACCCAATGGAAAAAATGAGCAAAGAATATGAATAAACAATTCACAGAAAAAGAAATATTAACTATCGTTTTCCATATAAAAAGATTCTCAACCTTGTTCACTTTGTGGTGAGAGTATAAACTGTTGCCCAGGCTGGAGTGCAATGGCACGATCTCAGCTCACTGCAACCTCAGCCATCCAGGTTCAAGCAATTCTCCTGCCTCAGTCACCCGAGTAGCTGGGATTACAGGCACCTGCCACCACACCCAGCTAGTTTTTGTATTTTTAGTAGAGATGGGGTTTCACCACGTTGGCCAAGGTGGTCTCAAACTCCTGACCTCAGGTGATCCACCCACCTCAACTTCCTAAGGTGCTGGGATTACAGGCATGAGCCACTGAGTCCGGCCAAACTTGTATGATCTTTTTAAAAAGCAATTTGACAAAATCTACCAATACCTTTTTAAGATGTAGTTCCACATTGTGTGACCTGGCACTTTCACTCCTATGAAGTTACGCTCGGCCGAGCGCAGTGGCTCATGCCTGTAATCCTAGCCCTTTGGGAGGCCGAAGTGGGTGGATCACCTGTGGTCGGGAGTTCGAGACCAGCCTGATCAACATGGGGAAACCCCATCCCTACTAAAAACACAAAATTAGCCAGGCATGGTGGCACATGCCTGTAATTCCAGCTACTTGGTTGGCTGAGGCAGGAGAATCGCTTGAACCAGGAGGTGGAGGTTTCGGTGACCTGAGATCAAGCCACTTGCACTCCAGCCTGGGCAACAAGAGCAAAACTCCGTCTCAAAAAAAGAAAAAGAAATTACCCTGTAGACTACACCAACAAAAGTATTCTAAGATAGATATAAGCATTATGTTCATTGCAATGTGGTTATAGTGAGAAAACTAAAACCTGAATATCCATGAGTAAGTAATAGACTAAATAAATTATGCCACCTTACAAGTGGAATTCTATTTAAGAAGTACTAATTACATCTAGATGTGCCAGTGCATAAATATCTCTGAGATATATGAAGTGAAAAAAGAAAATGCAGCAGAATGAATATGGAAAAAAACCCATGTTCTACAAAGATAAGTATATATGTACACAAATTTTTTTTCAGAGATAATGGTTATCTTTGAAATGAAGGACTGCTGGGAAAAAAGGCTATTTGCTTCTCATTTGGACTTTCCCATGCTGTTTTGCACATTTTAAGGCTGTGCCTGCGATTTTTTAAATGTCCACAAAGGCTAGCTAGGAGGTGGGATTATAAACCATTTTTGTTTTCATATTTTTTACTTATCCATATTTAAAAATAACTTAATGGATTTGTTATTTCAACAGATTATTCTTTTCTGCTTGACCTCGAGTTACAGAGATGCCAGATGAAGTCAAAGAGGATACCAGATGCACCCAGGCTGCTGGGGAGGCACGTACGTCTGAGCTGGCCCAGGGCAGCTGTTCTCCAGGGCAGGGCTTGGCCATGGCAGTGGCCCCAACGCCTGCATTCAGCCCAGCCCACCAGGTCACCCCAGTCCAGTCTGTGATGCTCAGATCCCCAAGCAATCACAGGTCTGAGGCCGGAAGAACTATGAGAATGCGCATGGTGATATCGGGCACATGCTCTGAATGAAGGAAGAGAAACCTAAGCACTTCAAGGGGCCGTGTTCAGAGGAGGGAAAAGACAGCAGGGTCTGCGTGTGATCCCTACCTGGACTCTCTTAGAAGCTCCATTATCCTCTTCTTCAATGATGTCTTCCCATTCCAGAATTTCTCACCTTAACCTACTCAGCCTAAGATAATAATCATCTGCGTGCAGAAATGAGTAAATGGGGAATTTTTACTTTTCTGCAATGAGCGTGCATTCTTTTTCTCATCATACAAACCTGTTTTTAGAAAACAATAAATGATGGATATAGGCCCACCTAGATGAAGGTATGCTTTCTACTGGAGTCTGCAGAGAACTTCAACCAGATCTGCTTTGCTCCCACCTGGTAACCCACATTCTCCACTTGGAAATAAGGACAGAAAAAAGCAGGGAGATTAAGGACACGATCAGTGAGGGGGACTTTGAGGACTGGCCATATGTTTCTCCTGGGGAAGGGCTGGGGTGGGAGGGAAGTTACAAGTGGAGGTGGTGAGAGAAAGGGAAGGAAAGAATACCGGTGTGTGCATGCTTTTGGGTCTATTTAACTAGGTTCTCCCAATTTCTCTTCCATCAATCTTTATAGAATTTGCTTTGTATTTGCACTGCTCAGCTCAATCCTGCTGACTTTATCATTTTCTCACGCTGAATCAATATTCGTAAATCAAGGAAGGAAGCAAGGCTAAGTAGGGGTGGTGACAGTACCTCTCAGGCTGGGCACTAGAGGGCAGAAGCTTCCAGGAAATCATCACAGGCAGACCCTCACTTCAAAAAATGCCCAAGGATCTACAACACTGATGAACCTGGAGAACATTATCCTAAGTGAAATCAGCCAGACCCAGAAAGACAAATACTGCATGATCTCACTAGTGCAGAATCTAAAAACATGTCAAGCTCACCATTAACAGAGAGTAGTAGTGTATGGTGGTTACCACGGATTGGTGGATGTTGGTTAAAAGGTACAAACTTTCAGTTATAAGGTGAATAAGGTCTGGAGACTTACAGCCTGGTGACTATAGTTAATAATAATATGTTGTGGAGCACAGTGGCATGCATCTGTAATCCCCACTACTCAGGAGGCTGAGGTAGAGGATTGCTTGAGCCCAGGAATTTGAACGCAGCCTGGCCAATGTAGTGAGATCCTATCTCTAAAAAAGGGGAAAAAATGTATGCTTGAAATTTGCTAGGAAAATAGATCTTAAGCATTTACATCACACAAAAACAAAAGTGATAGATATGTTAATGGCTTGATTGTGGTAATTACCTCACCATGTATACATATATCAAAACATCACATTGTACACCTTAAATGTGTACAATTTTTTTTAAAACAGTTTTTTGCTTCTTGTTGTCCAGGTTGGAGTGCAATGGCGTGATCTCAGCTCACTGCAATCTCTGCCTCCCGGGTTCAAGTGATTTTCCTGCCTCAGCCTCCCAAGTAGCTGGAATTACAGGCATGTACCGCCAAGCCCAGCTAATTTTGCATTTTTAGGAGAGATGGGGTTTCACCATGTTGGTCAGGGTGGTCTTGAAGCCCTAACTCAGGTAATCCACCCACCTCGGCCTCCCAAAGTGCTGGGATTACAGGCGTGAACCACCGCGCCCGGCCTAGTGATTTTTTTTTTAATGCCTAAAAAGGGGAACACTCAACAGCCAATCACGGCCACTACGGCCTGAGGGTCTAAAACCATGTCACCAAGTTGCTCGTTGTTCGATCAAAGTTCTGCCTTATGACGGGGAAAAAACAATCTACGTTAAATTGAATTTTGGCCTTATTAGGCTCATTTGCGTAGGTTATCTTATGTAGACTTGATTTCCGCAAGTGCTACCTCAGGGTCTTGGCTCCAAACTCTCTGATGATTCTTTGGCTATGTCCTGCACAATATTTGTTTCTCTACAGGATGAATGCTGTCCGTGTTAGTGCTGAGAACCAGAGTCTATTCAGGATGGAGGGTGTATACAAAGGAGGGGGAACTGGGGCACAAAGAGAGGAAACTGGTCCCGTTCTTTAGTTTGCTCCCCATTCCGGCCTCGTTTTAACACAAAGGCAGGCGTTGCTGACAGATGTTGTAGGGGACACAGGGAGGTCTTCCACTTCCTGGTTTCAGGTTGAACTCCACGTCACCTTTATCAAAATTCATTGAACAGCCCAAGCTTTTGACCTGATCCTGGCTCTCTCTGTTGTGAGTCCCCATCTGCGGAGTCTCTGCTCCTGGTTGTGACACCTCCTTAGTCATCTTCCGGCATCGGCATCTCTCCTATGGGCACCACTACGTGCCCACAACTGCTGTCCTAACAGTATCTTTCAGCATTTTAATTGTCACCTTCTAGGTTAGCCCCATTTAAAAAGAGGCTTTGTTTCCATCTTGCCTCTGGGATGTAACAGCTCAAACCACAGGGCTCCTTTTGAGCACGCTACCAAATCATGTGGCTCCAGGAAATTCTTCACTTTCCCACCATTTGCTGTTAATCAGTAAACTCCAAAGTTCCTAGTACTCCTGGCTGGGGGATTCAAAACAAGCCCAAGGCAAGATTCTGACTTTCAAAAAAACTAGCACACACACAGAACAGAAGAGTAATTCAGAATGAGATTTTAGGACAATAATTTTTAAAGTTACTTTTTAAATAAATAACCAACCATGCCTGTAAAGAAGGCCATTATAGGCTGAGCGCTGTGGCTCATGCCTGCAATCCTAGCACTTTGGGAGGCCAAGGCCGGCAGATCATGAGGTCAGGAGATCGAGACCATCCTGGCTAACACAGTGAAGCCCCGTCCCTACTAAAAATACAAAAAAGTAGCCGGGCGTGGTGGCAGGTGCCTGTAGTCCCAGCTATTCGGGACACTAAAGCAGGAGAATCGCTTGAACCTGAAAGGTGGAGGTTGCAGTGAGCCGAGATCACACCACTGCACTCCAGCCTGGGCGAAAAGTGAGACTTAGTCTCAAAAGAAAAAAATA